ATCTACAAAAATACTGTATACAAGTATAGAGAGTTTATAATTTCATTGTACAGGTAACTTGTTAGGCCACATTTGGAATATTGTGTTCAGTCTTGGGCTCCTTATCTTAGGAAAGACGTTGAATTGTTGAAAGGGTTCAGAGAAGGGTTACAAGAAAGATGCCTGGTATGGAGAGGTTGTCATATGAGGAGGCTGAAATCTCACAAATCTCTGTAAAGGGAATTGATAGTGTTGATGTATCATCTTTTTTTATATTTAACAGTGAGAATAGTAAGACAAGGAGACAAAAATATAAATTTTGGCAAGGTAGGAGTCATCTTCAGCTAAGTTTCATTTTCCTCAAAGGGTGGTTGGCCTTTGGAATGGGTTGCCTTCAGATGTTGTAGAGACAGTAAATTTAAGTGAGTTTAAGAAAAAGCTTGATAAGTATATGAATGATAGTAGCCGGCTTAATAGGTCCCATGTTGTTCCAAAACAGTATGTTATGTTAAGAAATGCTCCAGCATGTCAAAATATTAGTTCCATTATGTCACTGCATCTTGTTTCAGTTTATACATAGGAAGATCTATGAAGCTTGCTTTTCTTTGAGTTTACTTGTAGCTGAAGTACTTCTTTGGAAGAAAAATGCAATTCTCCTCAATTTTCCCTGAAATTTTGAAACAGTCAAAACTTTCATAGCTCTCTGGGATGTCAATATTCAATGTATGAGCAAAGCAAAAAATGTAAGAGCAGGCATTAAACTTGTTAGTGCCAAAACCATATTTGCTGTATTGTCAGATACCAAAGGTAAGGGCTTATAGCTATTCAAATTCCATTCTTCAATGACATTGTTCAATACTTCTACAATTCCCTTGAGGACATGGGAATTAAATGACAAATATGATTCTATGGCTTTACTAGTCCAGGAATCTGTAGTTAAAGCAACTTTCTCAGTTGCTGCTATGTTTTCCAGTGCTTTTCCTTTAACCTCAAAGTACATATTTGGAATCACTTTACATGCAAAGCGATTCTTGCCAGGAATTTAAGGATAATTTCATTTATTACAGATTAACAAGCCCATACGCAGAATGTTTGATAGGGGTTTCTAATTTGTGAGATCAAAAGCCAACACATATTGTGCAAAGCATAAGCAGCATGCAAAGCATGTTAATGCTATGAGGGTCTGGGGATATGGCCCAACAAAAAAAAAAAAAAAAGTAAAAAACAGGTGCCATATGATTAAATCTGGAAGCGATTCTGCATGAAATATAACTTAAACAACTGGAGCTGCACTATAACTATATAAGCATAAATTTGTTACTTCACAAAAACCAGGAAACTCAGATCGAGCATGGTAAGAAGCTAGTGCAATGATTGCTAAAGCTAAAAGGCATAAACTGTTCTTCTCCCCCATTGAAGGTAACAAAAAGTTCCAAGTACACAGTAATAAGTACAGAGTAGTTAGTGAAAATGAAATAGGGGTTAAATCACTTGAGAAGTTCATG